ACGGCTGCCAGAGACACGCACCGATGATCCATCAACCGGGAGAGCTACTATACTCGGTCTTGTCCCCATGGTCGTTTATGGAATGGGGAATAGATATCGTCGGTCCCCTGCCATGGGCACCCGGTAAAGCTCAATTCATATTATTCATGACTGACTATTTTTTTAAATGGGTCGAGGCCCAAGCATTCAAAAAGGTCCAAGAGAAAGAAGTCATTGACTTCATCTAGGGCCACATAATATGTCGATTTGGGATACCGGCCGAAGTTATGTGTGATAATGGGAAGCAATTGATCGGCAGCAAGGTAAAGAAATTTTTTGAAGATCACAAGATTAAAAAGATACTATCAACACCTTACCACCCTAGTGGGAACGGACAGGCGGAGTCAACAAACAAGACCATACTTCAAAACCTAAAAATGAGGTTGACCGATGCCAAAGGGAAATAGAAAGAAATCTTTCCCGAAGTCCTATGGGGATATCGTACAACCTCGAAGTTTAGCACCAGGGCCACTCCATTTTCGTTGGTCTACGGGGCCGAAGCCTTGATACCAGTCGAGGTGGGAGAGATAAGCCTCAGATTCCAATATGCAACCGAAGAGTCAAATAGCAAGGCCATGGTCACGAGCCTAGAACTATTGGATGAAAGGCATGAGGCAGCTTTAGTCTGGTAGGCCACCCAAAAACAACGGATAGAAAGATACTACAACCAAAGAGCCAACCTCCGACATTTCAATATCGGGGACCTAGTGTTGAGGAAAGTAACGTTACACACCCGAAACCCAAACGAGGAAAAGCTGGGATCTAACTGGGAAGGACCGTACGAGTCATCGAAATTACCGGCAAAGTCTCATACAAACTCGAAGCGAAAAACGGTGTGCAACTACCGAACAATTGGAACGTGACACACTTAAAACGGTACTACTGCTAAGTTACGATCTCAACTACTCTTTAATCATGTTATGTATCGGACTAACACTTGCAGGCAACGTTCAAGAATAGATGTGGCTATTAGGTCTGAAAGCACGCGTTGCACTCTTTTTCCCTTGAACCGGTAATGTCCTAAAAATGGGCATCCGGCAAGATTTTTAACAAGGCAACAGTAAAATGTGCTAACTTAGATTCGAAGGCCGGTCTCAAACAGTATCCGAGCTTTCTCAAGCTCGACCTCGAATACCGGGGGCCATTACCCTCGGATTAAGGTTTTCAGCAAGGGAAAATTTAGTAAGGAAAAAAGAAAACCGTGAATGCTAGAAGCTAAGGCTTGGTGGTTATGATTCATTGTAAGGGCCAAACGGTCGTATGAACTGTGCCCACATAGTTCACTTTAGCCATGACACAAGCTTTTGCGCGTTTTCGATCATGTACTTTACACACAGAAATGAATGAAAGTTCCGCCTTGCTATTACACATTTTCTTGCCTCTTAAATTCCGGATCCTAAGAGCCCTCGGGCTACCCCTATTCGGGGACTATCGAGCCCATGGGCTACCTCCACTCGGGGACTGTCGTCCGAAAAGAATTCGGACAACTTGGGCTACTAAATCCTAGAGGCACCAAACCTATTAGGCGGTGCCTAAATACAAAAGGCTACGCCCGCCCTAAAAATGGCTCAGAGACGTCCGAAACTCATAATCAGAAAGTAAAGCCTTTATAAAAATTTGTTACCTACTAAAAGGTTACCCTCGGCAAAAGCATCGTCTAAAATCACTTAAGCATCTTGAAAAAACTTCTCGGGTCACACCGAGTTTTCAAAGCCTCAAGCAAACAAAGTTGTATCAAAGTTAAGCTCCGTTCGGACCTCTAAAAACTGAACGCCCTATAACTACATATGATTCTATGTTAAGGCATTAGAAACATTGTAAGAATAGAAATTATGAAAATATGCTGAAAATGTAAAGACTCGAAATTGCCAAAAAGGGAAAATTTTATATATATTCCGGAAAATACTTAAAAAGGACCAATAAAAATGACCTCAAAATAAACAAAAAATGTACATAAGACAAAAACTAAAAAAGTACTAAGGCGTCTACGCCTAATCTTCACCAGGGCCCGACCCGTCGCCAGAGCCGTCGGAGCCTTCGAAACCCTCCGAGCCCTCGGAACCCTCAGAGCTTTCGGCACCTTCAGGCTCGTAAAGCTTCTTCGCCTCGGCCTCGGATTTTTTGGCTTCCTCGATCTCAGCCGACAGGTCAAAACCTCAGGCATGGATCTCCTCGAGGGTCTCTCTTCGGGATAGCCGCTTTATATATTCGGCCTTTGCCTTTAGGCGGACCTCAGGTGCCTCCATATCGGCCTTGTATTGGGCCACCATTTCTTTGGCATCGGCGGAGGTTTTATCCAACTTGGACTTCACTGCCTCGTATTCTCTACCGAGGGTGTCCTGCTCTGTGAAAGCCGATCTCAGTTGTGCTCGGAGATCATCATTCAGCTGAAACCACTTGTCAGCTTTCTCCTTCGCCACCCAGAGTTGGACCTCTACTGATGCCAGCTTTGCCTTGGCAGTTTCCTTCTCCGAAGCCAGCAAGTCCATTTTACTTTTCCACCTATCAGCCATGGCTTGGACCTCGTTCATCTCAGCTCGGAGTTGGTCGATCGGGTCGATCTTCTGTTGGACCTGCGAGGTTGTGTTGTTAGTCATCTCGACTAGCTCCTTGTTTTTAGCTTCAAAGACCTTTACCTTTTTAACCAGGTCGGCATGTTCCCGCCTCAGGGTCAAAGCTTTCTTCTCATCCCTATCCAGCTCGGCCTGAAGGTCCTTGATGGCCCCGTCCTGTTGTTCACTGAGGAGCTTGAACATGTCCTTTTTCTGCACCTGCTCCTTAAGCTCGAACTCGAGCTGGCTGATTTCGAAGCGGTACCGGAGGAAGCTCTCATGGTAAAGCACCGAGGCCTGCAAAACTACGAAAATAGTAAGAGACATCGAAACCTAAGTGGAATTCAAGAGGGAGTATTGATGCCTTACCCGGTTCAGCGCCTACTGCGCCTCGTTAGAAGAGACACATCGCGCCCACCTCATTCATCTTTGTCTGGTCCTCCTCGTTCACCAGGCATCGGAGGTAGCTGGCTATGCCCATGGGAGCAGATAGAACTTGAGCATCCTCCAGGACTGTAAGAATGATTGTTCTCTTGCGAACGGCGTCCACACTCAGAGCAGTAAACTACTTCACCAGTTTTGGGCTCGAACTCGGCCCGCCAGCTTCCAAAGGCACGTCCTTCTTCGGGACCTCCAGGTCGCCCAACCCGGAAAAATCTTCCAAAGTGGACATGTCCACGCCATCGAAGAAGGAGTGAAGAGGGTCGTCCGCGCCGTGAACTCCTTCACTTGACTTCTCATTTCCTGCTTGGGCCTCCTCAAGCATGGACTCGGTGTAGGAGGGTATCTCCATGATGTCTATTACACCGGTTGCCTCCTTCGTAGTAGAAGCGTCTTCTCGGGAGGTCTCAGCCCCCGTCTCCATTTCGGCCTCTCGAGTCGGAGGGAGATCGGCCTCATGGCTCTTTCCCTCGGCTGCCGCCTGCTCCCCGGCAAGGGTCGATCCGTGAGCAACAAATGTCATCTTCTTCAGACTCATCCCTGAGCAGGCAAAGTGAGTCAAAATCCGGCAATCGGGAGTTGGTGCTCTTCTTTGGCTTATGAGCCCGGAAAGCCGCCCTCTTTTCCTCTTCTTATTCTCCCCCGCAGAAGCCCCGGACTATCCCGTAACAAAGGGATCAACGGATAGGAACGCATCCTCATCCCCTTTCAGCGGCCTAAGTTCGGTGGTCTTAGGCAAACTTGCGAAGGAAAGAAAAAGGGTCAGCGTTATGTAAGTTCGGGGCGTAATAGTAACTATTCTGAGAAGAGCCTTACCATGAGAACGGGCCTCCCATAGGCCGTTCGAAAGCTTGTGCCACGAGTGCTCAAAGTACGACATCTGCTTGCAGATGCCTTCGATCCACTCCTTGAGCCGGGCCGTGATATCCGCACCCAACCGGATATCACGACTAACAGAGGGCCGTGATATCCGCACCCAACCGGATATCACGGCGCGGATCTCGTCCGATGCCGGTAGCATATCAGTGATTGATGTACAAGGAGAATTTTTACATTTTTTAGAATTGTACTAGGGATAAAACTTCCCTACTATATAAAGAGGAAATTTCTTATTCAGTAGATACATTGTAACACGCATATCAAGGCAATACAAACTTATTTCTCTGCTTTCTAGATATTGAAAGGTTCTTATTTTAATCATAGTTCTTCATACACGTTTGACTTCGAATCGAGGGTCCGGTCGAAGGTAAACTACTGTTAAGTTTAAATCCGAGCTCGGACTCAACGTCACAACTGGTTTGGTTATTTATTTCATCTTTAATTCGTTTATCTAACATTTTAGTTACTTGTGTGGAATCAATCCACATATCCTTAAAATCGCATACAAATTTAATTGTTATCCGTTTTTAGGATAAACAATAATCGTAACCTACCATCTATTTTGTTCTTAAACCACACTTCCATAAGAAGACTAGTAAAACTGCCAACTAATCGTAACTTTTGGATCTCAAATATTAGTAAAAGTCCCCTGTAATTATAAGTTTTTATATTTAAAAAAGAAAATTGCATCCTTGTTTTAGCATCAAATTACAGTAATTTGCCCCATTGGATTTAAGTTATATACGCTAATACTCAGTATAATTTGACTTGTTATAATAGATTAGTTACCATTTCTACCAGGTTATCAATTAATGTTGATATGCAATTTTCTCTCTTTTCTTTCTTTCTCTTGCAATCGTTATTATGCAACTCCTTCAAAATGTCTTAGAAGAGACTAATTTAGATAATATATCAGAGTATCAATCAGTGAGCATTCAATCCCTTTTGAGTTTCAAGTATTGGTAACATGTAATTCACCAAAAGTAGCCAGTTTATCCTTTCGAAGATAAAAGGGAAAGGAAAAACCAGTTTACATCATTATCTATTTTGACCGCTTGAGAATTCCTACTACCGTAAAAACAACTATAATAATCAATAAATCTAGAATAGGGATCATCATACTTAAGCTTCCGAAAAGAATCACAACCCTTATAACATTTTTACACATATCAATTAGCTAGTATACAATGATCAAGCTACAACTTTCATACAAAATTCTATTAATCCGCGATCCCAAAAGCAAGACTTACCTTAGAAGAAAATAACGATCAAAAGAATCCCAAGCTGACTCATCAATGATCTTTTGGCTAAAATCACACGAACCTTCACCGATCATCTTGTCATGTAACTTAACCACCAATGAGAATAAATTAGATAAAAATGGGTTTGAAAGGAACGGTTGTATGGCCTCACCAATTTCTTCAACTTCAGGGAGCATCAACTTTCTATCGTCTTGTTTCCCCTTAAAAATACAGTTTGACAAGCCATAAAAGGCAAGTAAATTTGCATAGAGAGGTAAGAAGGCATCTTTATGGTTACCAACCCCACCAATCCAATCAGCTCCTCCCTGTGCAACAACATAGTCTTTGGCAAATAATACCAACTTCTGTGCAAACCTCCTCCTCCAGTTCTGCAAGAAGTCTTTCACCTCATGTACGTTACAGGGTTCAATTAACAAAAATCTTGAAGCTGGAAGTTTCTCCAAATGAAAACAGCATATCTGGCAGATCAACAGTTTTTCTTCATGATGGTTGTCAATCTCCTTGTCAAAGACACGTTTAACAAGATCTCCTTCGGAAATAAAACAAGCATGGTTAGCAGAATCTAGAACCCTGCGGCAAAGGAAGTCAAGGTAGTCAAGACAGTGGCCAAAAATTGATGAGAGATGCTTGAAGCTCCTCTCGATCACTTGTTCTACTTGGCTTGGGACCACTCCTGTCACGAAGCTTCTTTCAGATCTTTTAGATGTAAGACAATTCTGGACATCTAAGGCGAGTTTTCTCCTAAGACTCTCATCTTCATCCTCGAGAAGCCTAATGCATGAAAACCATAAATCCAGGATTTTATGGGCATACATATTAACCACCTTTTCTTGCTTGAACGAGGAGCAGAAATTGCCATCAGGAATTTGGTTATTGTAGACTGAAGGACCAATAACTTTGGCTTGATCCAACAAACCAGATGCTATCATAGACTCTGCAGCCGCCCTACGCATGTTTACAGGCTCTGACGCATCAGTGTGTTGTTCAATTAGGTCTACATAATAGCTGATGCACTCGTAAAAGACAGATAATTTAGATGGATCAGATGGATCATGGGGGTTGAATTCACCAGCTTTGACATTTTGCAAATCTACAACTGAAATACTAAGCGAGCTAGCAAATTGCTTTATACAAATCCCCATGCAACAAAGAAGCATCTCTCGAGTCTTTGAATGCCTAGTGACCTTGTATAAGGAAACCACCTTGTCCCAGAACTGGAGCACTGACTCGCTATCCATATCACCAAAAAATTTAGGATCTGCACACTCTTCTCCATTATTATGATACTCCTGCTGACTCCAGCTGTAGATAATCTTCAGAATGTAATTCAAACATTTATGGTTATTGTCCAACGTTAAAAGCTTCATCACACAGGTCTGGAGATCGACGCTGGTGAAGCAACTTCTCTTTATCTCATTATATTCTGGTGACTTGAGAAATAAAAGAAACCACTTCAGTGTTGCAATCCGAACTTCATATGAAGTGTCAGAGATCGAACGTATTAGCCTTTCCTGGAATCTGCTGAAAGAAATTTCATTTACAGATATCTTTGATAAGTTTGAACCAGAAGGAGGGCCTCCTGATGGTATTAACAGATACTCTTCAGCAACTTCTTTAGATGTTTGGTAAACACAATTAAAATATGAACTTGCAGCTTGCTTCCGAAGTTCTGAGATGGTTGGATCAAAATATGTTGGTGCACAAGCCACTCCTAAATCTAAACATTCTGAAGATAGCCGCCAAAGGAGGTTCCAAATGACATCAATATTGTCGCTCATTTGACATGTTCTTGCAACACTTAGCATGCTATCTAGCACCTTCAAAATGCAGCTGTTGATAATTGGGCAAGGACATTGCTCAGGACTCCCAATCCATGAGCGTGAAGCAAGAATATGAATCAATTCAGCAAGAATATTATCTTTTTTGGAAACATCAGCTAGATCTCTGCAGTTTGTGTCTAGAAGAGAGTTCAACTGTAATAACATCCCATGAAGTGAATTAAAAGAGCTATTTACTCTAATGGAAGAGAGAGACGAATCAGAATTCTCGACGTGCTCGCCAGCACCAGGTAACTCGGAGGCAATATCTAGGAGGACAAATGGAAGCTTTTCATTAGACACTAAACCTGTTAGAGCTCTTGATGCGAAAACACGAATACGAAGATTGCTCTGGACTGAGCATTTCCTGATGAGTGGCATGAACAGGAAAGGATCCAGGGGATCTCCAGCTTCACTTGCAATTGGAGAAGGTTTGAGTCGAGATAAGAGAATCAGGACTGGACATAAGCTGGGGTGCACAACTTTAGCCATGCTGGACCTTAAATGTTCAGATGATCCATCCAAAAGTGACTCAGTTGCAATTTTTAGCTCATTAAATAAGAACAAATGCAAGGGAGGGTACCTACACGACAAACAGTCAGGAAAGTGATTAGAGAATATCTGCTTTTCCTTAAACAAGACATAGCAACAATCATACCCACAAATGAAACAACTAGTGGGCATAAGAACGGATTCTCCAAAAGCCAGAAATAATGATGATTGATTACTTTGTCATCTTCTACAGAATCACAGATTCAATTTCCCAAAATCAAACACTTGGTTCACACTTCAGAAACAATAGAAGAAACATGACAAATGCAATCGATATATAGTACTGTTCAGATATACTCCATCCGTTTTAAAAAAAATGAACCTATTACCTTTTTAGTCAGTTTCAAAAAGAATGAATCCTTACTAAATTTGGAAAAAATTTAACTTTAAAATTTCCCTTTTACCTTAATGAGATGATTTATAGCCACGCAAATATCTATGGATTATTTTAGACCACAAGTTTCAAAAGTCTTTTCTTTTTCCTTAAACTTCGTGCCCAGTCAAATAAGTTCAAAAAAAAATTGAAACGGAGTATGCATCAAGCCAACAAAAAATGAGTAGAAAAATTATGTTATCAGATTTAAAACCTCACACAAACAAAAGAAACTAACAAGTTTTTTATTAAGGGTTGGAGGGGGGAGGGGGTTTATTTGAGGTCATTTGGGGGAAAAGGAGCATGTGAATATAATCAGCATACATGTAAGCTTTTATCCATGTAGCATGTTCATAGTATGAATGATTTATTTCTAAGTTACAGGAAAAGCCTACAATTTTTTGGAATCTAATATGTCAAAATAAACATCAGGAAATAAACAGATTCAAGAGTATGAAATTTTGAAGAAAAAAAAAACACAGTTTCTTGTAATATACAGGCCTAAATATCAAGAATAAAACAAACTCAAGATTACCAAAATAAAAAAGAAACCATTGATTTTTCTTTGTGCCGCGGTTCTTTTCCAAGGGTTTTGTTTGAACCGGGTGTAGTTAGTTTTATTTTGTTAGTAGTAGAAAACCTTGTGCTAGGATTTGAATTGAAAGCAATATATCTTAACTTTATGATGCCTTGAGAATAGTGAATTATTTAGTGTAACGCTTAGGCTCAGTTTTTGACTCTTGTATAAGTACCTGAAATTGTATGACCTTAACTTTGCTTAACTGCTTTGACTAGAGTGTCTTGATGAGTCCGATCCTGAGTGAGTTATATGCCATGTGTGTGTGAGGTTTTGCGTTATTATGTGCATTGCATTTGATGTCTAGAACTTATCCCGTATGTTTGCAAAGCGAAATGGTAGTTTTGTTCAGTCTTGGAAGTGATATAGACGTTTCTTTATTGAGCCAGTTATATGCTATTACCCACCTAATTGTTATGTATCTTAGTTAACCCCGTTGAGCCTGGAATCATGTTTCTTTGGCCACTACTAATTTATAGGTTAATTAAAGATAGACTTGTTGGTTCCTTATGGTCTTTCTTGATTTTATAAAGTCCAAATAAACCAAAACATGAAGGCATACTATGGGAAAGTAGTTTAAATGGTAGAACAGAGAAGACGAGTTTTATCTGATTTTCAAATGTGAAAAGCACCTTTTCCTTCAATTGCAAATATAAACAATTACTTCGCAGAAGAATGTGATCAAAATTCGATGAAAAATAAGACAGCATATAGATAACTAATAGTGGTCTAATAGAAGCACATAACACAAAGCATAAATTATGATAAATAAAGATCAGAAGAGACCCATCCTGTTATACCTATGAAAGAATTCAAGCCCTGTTATAGCACGCCTGACTGATGCTCGCTTGTGCACATTCAGAAATCCAATCATGCGACGAACCAAAGCAGTATAAGCAAGACAGGCACTGTTCCGTATCTCCCAATGTGGAGAAGAGAAACACCGTATCGAGATAATCAAAGCCTCAGCAGAAAAACCCGATGTATCAGTTGCTAGGTTGGTATCATTAAAAGCAACTCTAAGGACATTGAAAGCATGCACAGTAGGAATAACACCCTCATCTCGAATCTTCGAAATCCTTTCAGCGTGATATATATCAGGGGCGACTTCAGAAAAATTAGCTGGACTTTTTGCCTCCACAAAACCATTGCAGGCATCAGCACTGAAACTGTTTGCTTCAGTATGATCTGTTAAAGACTTATTAGCAACATCTATTAACCATCGTAATGCCCTAGGCAAAAGCCTTTTTGGTGTGCCCTGCGGCTCTGAAAGGAAGAAAGCAATAAATGCTGCAGGAATACCAGCACTTCTCCTTAGGAGATCATCCACTGTTTGTCCCTTGGCTACTGTTCGTTCCATAAGTTGCTCCATCCAAGACTCAGTCAACTTACAAAGTCTGCAAAAACGAAAAGTAACCTTAGCAAATGAATTCAGAATGCATGTCGTTTATCTTTGTAGTGAACTCTGCTATAATCCTAACAATGAAAGTCCAACATCGTCAAATGCAATATGGCACGAATTAAAATCCATCAATTTCCTAGTCCTCATAAGTAACAGCAGTTATCCATTAGAGACTACAGTAAACAGACACCAAACAGAAAATCAATAGCCAATCTTCAGATAAAAAGTTATCAAGCTGGAGAAATGGTGTCAAACGAAAGTCTTCCTTTCTGATAATTTTAAAAAGAGAACAGCGTTAGTCCACCTATCATACCTGTTACACCTTTTTTAAAACTTTCTACATCTGCAATATTTTATATTTTTTTTCATTTTTCAATTTTCTATTTTTCTTGAAGGGCAATGCAAAGGGAGGGATGAGAGTTGGACGGAAACAGCCGTAAAATTGGTATCTCCAAAGAAACAGGAATTGGAAGAAAAAACAAATAATAGACCTGAATAACAATAACAAGGTAGCAAATGAGTTAACAAGAATGCCTTATCTACTGAACGCAGGTCAACACCTCTGTCATGAAGCAAACAACAAACTAAATTATCTACAGCACAATATTCAGATATCTCCTTTTTCCTCTGCATTGACAATACATGAGTGAGCTTGCTTACAAGTGCGCGACAATGAGTTTTAAGAGATTTAAATTTAAATCTATCTTTCATTACTCCCTTACTAAACTCTGATTACAATATAACAACAAAGATTCAAAAAGTTCAACTCCAACCTTATCTTAGAGGTGGTATGACAGAGGAACTAAAAAACTTTAAGATGTCACATACTGCCATTAACCTGAAGCAAGGTTGGAAGTGTCACTATTTTGGCTTTTTCCTTTCAATTTTTGCTTGCTTTGTCGCTTTAAAGCTTACAAGCTACTCAGGCTCACGAATTTTCAATGTTACTTGCTCAAGTAGGGAAGCGAGCTGAGCTCAACCTCACTAATTTTGAGCTCACATCATCGCAAGCAGAACTCAATCTCTTTGATACCATGCTCTAGTTCATAAAACCCAATAGGACGGAGAATTCCCTTTCTAGTCCTTTTTTTTGGGGGTTGTTCTTCCCCCTTTCCACGTGGGGAAAACCCAAAGAACAAAGGAATATACCCTAGACCCTCTCAAGTTCTCCTCCTCTCCTCTTAGCTGCAGCCCACTGAAGGAGTTGCAGTACTCGCGGGTTTGCTGATTACTAGTACTGGATTCTATCCCTTTCTTGGTGTCTGCTTCCCCACCTCTCTGTACTAGCAATCTGCCCAGGGTTCCTCCCATTGAAATCGGTGAGTCTTAAATGAAAATGAGAATTTTAGTCATTTTCAGTAATTAACAAACAGATAGATGAAAAGGAGATGTCTGCTGTGAAACCACAGCATCATTCAGTTTTCTGATTTTAGAGAGAAATTATCTTAAGCTAGACCAAAGATAAGCATGCCGCTTACAGCCTTGGCACTGGAATTCCTGCAAAACAACTAAGCATGTCGAAAACATGACTGCACATATAAAAATAGAATCCAGTACACATACCTTGAATCATTCGAACAAAGTAATCGATTGCAAAGAGCAGTAAATCCAGCCCTTGTCTTATCAATAGCACCATTATGCTTCATTTTCAAAAGGACTTCCAAGAAATAGTTGCCAATTACCTCGAGTTGTTTCAGATCAAGCATTGCGCCAGACTTCGTATTGGATAAATCAGTTTCATGAACAACTTGGAAACCTGATTCAGAAACATCTGAAGTAGGTAAAGGAACCTTTCTTATTATTGTTCCCAAAAGAAGGCTCACCTGAAACAATGTAGATGAGAAGATATTGATCCTTCTGGAACTTTTAAGAATATAAACTTCATATAAAGTAGTTGATTACAATCTACGATTCCTTCTTTTTGTTTTATTAATAGCGTTGGTGTCTGGGCCAGCTTGAGTACACCTCGACTATTCCATCGGGTACCTGCTACCTCCCACTAACACAGGTACCGGATAACTCTACCCACTAAGACCTATGCAGATGAGAAGAAATCATCTAATGTTTATCATTCCAGCTTCAGCCACAAAGGTTGTAATAGAAGAGGGGGGAAGGGTAGAAAATGCATTCTCTTCCATCAGTTGAACTATGAACTATAAAGTTAGTCGGCCTGAGTACAAAGAAGCAAGGAAAAAAATAATGACAGCACAACAATGAGTGATGACATAATTTAACCATCAACCTCATATAAGTTCTATTAATTAGTTAGCTACTTGGACAAATGGGATAAATAGCCAGTTTTTATACCTCTTTCATAGCAAGCCAACAACCAACCATAACTATCTGCTCAGTTTGCCTGCCATCC